AAAAAAAAAAAAAAAAAAAGGAAAGAAAGAGCTGTGAAGTATATTAAGGCGTATCTCTATACTTAGACTCTTCTAGATTTTCTTTAAAAAAAAAAAAAAAACTTCCCCTCTCATCGGTGTAACTAGTTGAGTTACTGGAAAAATAAACTTATCCTGATGTAAGCACCAGAGATGGGAAAATAGTCTGTGCCACAAAATAGATGACAGTTGACATGCCTCAAGATCCTTAAACTTGGTTGGAGGGTCTGGTCTCGAGACAAGGGAAGTTGCAATTCTAGCTATTGTTCTGGCCAAATTCCATCGTGGAAAATTTATTGGGTGCTCAAGGCAGTCCCTTGCCTTTCCCTTCTCCACCCCATCCTCACTACCTGAGGCAACACCTTAAACTCTTGAATTCTTTCTTCTAGTGTTTACCTCCGCTATTTCAAACTAGCAAGCCTAGTGCTTGCTTTGGCGCCCATTTGCTAAAATTGGAACAATACAGAGATGAGCATGGCCCCTGCACAAGGATGACATGCAAATTCGTGAAGTGTTCCATATTTTTAATTAAAAACAAAATGAAAAAATACCAAGCCTATACTGCAATTTCTTTTTCTCCCATGTGGATATTATGTATTTATTAACTTGCTATTAGATAACATGAGGATTTACTACTGTTGTATCCTTCCCTCCCACCCCCCTCCTGTTTTTCTCCCTCCATCTTTTCTAATTTTTGGTTGTCACTATTCTTTCACTTATTATGAGCATGTTAAGTGTTGGTCACTGTTGAGCCAAACAGTGTATTATGAGTACATTTTCTTTCTTGCTCAATGTTTTTGTTGTTTAATTGCTCATTTTGTTTGCTTAGTTTCTATGCAAACGGTACAACAGAATTGAATGCTCTCCCCCTCCCCACCCCCAACTCATCACTCTCTTGACCAGTTTTTGTAGACTTGCCTCCTGACTTCTTTTCCTCCCCTTCCGTTTTCTCCTCTGGGACTGGCCGCCCCCGCCTGCCGCACCACTGCCATCCTGGACTCCTTTGGTGTCTGTCTTGTCCTAGGCACCTTCCTTCCTTGATCTCATATCTTCTTTCTTGGTTTACTATCACGTTTGCTGAGACATTTTCTAGACCCTGTGTGTCTGGATTCGTTTTTATTATACCCTCCCATTTAGTGGCTAGTTCTGCTGGGAATAGAACCCTAATCTGGGAGCCTGTTGCTACAGTAAGTAGGAGGTTTTGCTCCACCATCTTCTGCCTTCCAGAGGCAGGGTCCAAAACTATTTGATTCTTCATCTGTCAGTGAATCTATTTTCTCTCCTTGTCAGTTAATAGAAAGTTGTCTCTAGGCCGGGCGCAGTGGCTCAAGCCTGTAATCCCAGCACTTTGGGAGGCTGAGACGGGCGGATCACGAGGTCAGGAGATCGAGACCATCCTGGCTAACA